AAACTCTGAGGCTCAACTCAGCACCCAGATCTTCAGAACTGGGCCCAAGGCCCGAGGTCACGTTCTCACCCTTGTTCGGACCCGGGGAAGTCAGGGTGAGGCTGCAGAAATACTTCGTGTTGGCTTGTGTTTTACCTGCTGTTCTGTTAAAGGAACTGAACCAAATGCTGCAGTCAAATTAAAACCTACAGGAACATAGGCAACAGCCTATGGCAGCTGGATTGAACGAAAGCTAACCATGGAGCATTTGGATAGGAAACTGCAGATTCGATTCTAGCAGCAGGATACGCATGACTCGAGCTGGCTCTATTAGAAGCTGTAGCCTTTTGGGCTACTGAAACGCCGGAGATGTTTATAATTGCTAATAATAGTACCCTCCTGACTTGGGTTTCTCGGTGAGCTGTGAAGAGGTGGTCAAGCCTATGCTCTTGGACTGGTGTTAAATTATATCCTGAGAATTATCATCAGTCAACTTGCACAGTGGAGTTTTGGGTAGCTGGTAGGGTAAGATGCAGTTCTGAGTCTGAAGTCGCTTTAAAGGAGGAAACCCCACTTTGATCTCCCACTTTCCTCCTGAACGGAGGCTATTTAGAGTCTCATTTACTGCTTCCTTATGTCCCCAGGTACTGAGGAGCAGGTGTGAGCCAGCCACAAAGGAGCAATTTCTGAAAGTGACTGTCTCATGCCTCCAGGTTTGCTCACTGCGATTTGTCTGGCAGTATCCAAGGCAACCTTGTGAGCCGTTGCGAAGATGGTGATGCCACCCCATCTTTGAAGGTGGTTATTTCCCCCTGCCTGGCAGCTGTGGCATGGCATAAGTCAACTTACCACCGTGTTGAGTCATCCTGGCTGAGGGGATGTCTTTGACTGCCCAGCCTTGCTGTGTGCACTGGGATCCCAAAAGTGGTATACATAGCAATGCCCACTGAGCCAGGATACTCGCCTACACAGTACATTTAAAACTCAACAGGCTAGACTTCTTTCTACCTGAGCCCTTTATACAAATGAGAATCAAAAGAGGCAGAGGTCAAAATAGCCCTTGGGGATCTTAAGTGCTATTATCATAATTATTATTGTTGTTATCACTTGAGATAAGGTCTCCAGTAGCCCAGGCTGGCCTCAAACTTGTTACATAACCAAGAAAGGCCATGAACTCCTTGCCCTCACCTCTCACCCACGCTGGGATGACCAGTGTACACCACTATATCCAGTTATGAGGTGCTGGGGAATGAACTCGGGGCTATGTGGGTGCTGAGCAAGAACCTTTCCAACTAAGCCACATCCCCAACCCGTGTAATGTTACTCTTAACTTGAGGACCTTTAGAATCTGATTCAAGGATGGAGCCAAACTGTGACCCTACCTCTTACAAGTTATGAGACTGTAGGCAGTGACTATACCTTCTAAGTCCTGAAACAGCCAAGAAAGCATGCAAGGAAGTCCTGAAAAATCCTCAGTGTGGTTGGCAGGGGTCATGGAAGAAAATGTTTAGTTTGATTTTATGGCACTGGAGCCTCCCGCATGCTAGGGAAGTGGAGCAGCATGGGGCTGCATCCCCGGTCCTCTTATTCGGAGACAGAATTTCACTAGTAATCCGCCCAGGCTCACCTTGCACTCACTCTGAAGCTTAGACAGGCCTTGAATTATAACCCTCCTGCCTCAGCTACCTGAGTTAGCTGGGTTTTTAGGTCTCTCCTGCTGGGCATGGCAGAGAAACAGAGTTCTGAAGAAAGAAAGGTAAAAAGGCTTGTCTGGGATTTCAAGACACAAGCCAAAGCCTGTTAACACAGTGAGCTCCTCAGCCACTCTCCTGGAGCTTACATGAAGGCAGGTGGAAGCCTTTCTGTTTTGTGATGAGAAAGTGGACAGACACTCCTCCCCCGTTATAAACACGGCGTTCTGCCAAAGGGAACCTATTCCGTCTCGGCATCAGCCATGTTTGAAAGTCAGTACAAGCCTCAAAAAGTGTGGATTTATCGTGATTAGGATTCTTTGAGTATCTACTATCCTGAGGATATACGGAAGAAAACCCCCAGAATCAGAAGGTAAATAATGGGTAAAGTAAAAAAACATGGGTAAGTATCAACACACACACACTGAGCAAAGCCAGAGGCATAGGATAGAGTGTTCTCACAGCTGCCTTCTCTGGCCCTGGGAGCAGCCCAGTTAAGGTCTTCTCGGCCTTGACTTACCCCCAGCTCTAACACTGACCTTCTGAAACACTGTGCTTCACTGTCTGCTGAACAAAGTCCCATACCTCCCATTGCCTTGAGGATACAACCATTCAAAAGCCTGGGTCTGTCTCTCCAAACGCGCCTCCTCTGCTTTCCTCATGGAACCTGAACTGTGTGCGAGCATTCATGGTTTCGTGTCTCACGCTTAACTGCCAATCCGCTCTAGCTCAGATGCCACACCTACTTGGCTGAGCTACTCTAGGCCAGATCATTCCTTCAAAGCTGACTCTGGCCTTCGTGGCCTGTCCCTCACTGGCCACTGGAGTGCTTCACTTGGTATTTAGTATCTGCGCCATTTTATTGTTGGTTATCCGCTTGTTAAATGTTCATCTCCAGAACCAGGCGTGCTGGACACTCCCGTGCGTGCAGCTGTGTTTGCTGTATTTTGCAGGCTCTGGTAGTTAAAACGCTGTCTTAGGAAAAGGAACCTTGAGCCTGCCTGTACAGTTAGCTTCCACACAACTCCAGCCAAAGTCCTTTATGGCTCTGAGCCTCAAACCATTCATCCCTTAGACAGTCAAGGAGATTTGACCTCTGATGTCCTTGTGAGACCTAAGGTCCTATAAGAGGGTTACAGTCCCTTTTATCTAGCCTGTTTCCTTAAGACCTAATCACTGGGACTAGGGAAACATCGGGGATATACTGGAAGGAAGCAAGGAGTTAGAAGAACTTAGAAATAATGAGTTTTAAGTAGAGAACAGAAAACTTTAACTTTTTAAAGAAAGCAAGAGTTAAAAAAAAAAAAAAACTTTTTCCATGCTTTCTCTTTTCAGTGCCTAAGAGCAGTTTGCTGGAAATCCAGGGTAAACATTGTTCAAGATTCAAGGTGACAGGGTACCACTTTCTGTCATTTAGTCGCCAGCCCTTGCTCGGGGTATCAGGATGTCAGAACTAACAAGGGAGAGGAGAGAGTTCAGCTTTTAAGTGTCTCTTGGCTGTGAGAATGGCAGGCAGCCACCAGCCAGGGCCTGTCTATACCCAAAGCCCTCTGACATGGCCTTTATTTTAAAGACAGAAAAACCAACCTTGCTTCAACCTCTACTTTGAGAAAAATGCTTGTTGGTGAGGCAAGGAGCATTCCTTTAAATGTCCCTCTCAAATCAGGAGACATGAAAGGCCAGAAGCGGTCAGAGAACTTAATCTATGGATATCACTCAGCAGCCATGGTGGCACACACCTATAACCCCAGCACCGAGGCAGGAGGATAGAGAGTTTGAGGCTAGTCTGGGTTTCATAGCAAGACCCTATCACCAACAACCATGGAAGGAAGGAGAAGCATGCGTCTATCTTGGGGCTGCTGTTCTGTTTTTCATCAGTGTGAACCTGATTGTCACTCTTTCCGTCGACAGCAAACATGGGCCTTGCTCTCTCCCTTACAGAAACGGTGGAGGAGGACAAGAGGGCCAACAGTGGGAGGCTGGAGTGGGGAGCTTCAGAACCTTCTTCATAAATAGGCTCATCTTCTGTTTATATGTAAGAAATGGTCTCATGTAGCCCAGGCTGGTCTAGAACTCAATACATAGCCAAGGATGGATGACCTTGAACTCCTGATCTTCCTGCCCTCGCTTTCTTGGATACTGCCATGCATTACCAAGCCAGTTCATACAATGCTGGGGGTTGAGCCCAGGGCTTGGTCCATGATGGGCAAGTACTCTACCAGCTGAACATCTCTCCCCTCAGCCTCATTTTCCTAGACTCAATGATCTGAGAATTTCCCAAAGTTCCACAGGAAGCTGCACCAGAACAGGCCTGGGACCACCTACAGAGTGTCCTTCCCAGCAGCCCCCAGGCTAGTGTCCCCATCTTCTTCCTGTCTGGACCTCAAGTTCTTGACTCAGTGGAAATTTTCCACACTGACCACTGAGGCGAGCAGTCACATCCCCATGACCATGTTCAGCAAGAGGAAACAACCAAAGGCATTCTCGGACCAGATAGCTCATGGTCCTGCCTGGACCAGTGGCTGAGCAACGGAGGCACTGTGTTCTGGTTCATCAAGCCTGTGGTTTGTTTTGGGGTGTGAATCGTGGAACTGGAAACTGGTTTTAACTGCCCGGATATTGACAAGGTGACACACTTCTCACCATTCCTCCTCCCCCTGTGCTTACGGTCACAAGGAAGGCTCACAGAACAAACCCATGGCACTCCTGTCATTAGCCACGCTTAGCAGGTTCTGGAATGCCCCAGGGTAATACAGATCCTTAGCCAAACTGCAGGAACACCTAACAGAAGAGCTGTGAGTCCAGGAAGAACTTTGGGAAGCCAATGTCAAGGTTGAGGTTAGGGTTAGCCCCTCTCTAAACCTCTACTGCTTGGGCTTCTGAATGCTGTCCCACCATCAGTATGGCTTAGGGACCAGAACTAGCCTGGCTTAGAAGTGTCTGCACTGGATCACCCCATAGCCCTGAGTACCAGGCTTCCCAAGGACGCCGGCCCACATCATAAGGGTGGGCAGCAAAGAAGCCAGAGAGTACCTCAGCTTCAGCTCTGAGCCAGGGCTGCCGGCCCAGCGAGGCCAGCAATTCACCCCAAGCCTCCAGCCTAGTCACCCTGACAATGCTAAGCCCTGGGCCCGCTGTAGCTAATATAGCACTTTCTGCAATCACTGTAGAAAATCTCTGTTGTGTTACTAATTCCTTCCCTCCTTGGCTTGTTATGGTAAAGATTCCTGAATCTCCCATCGCAATCTCTGTGGCAAGAGTGTTTCCTCCTGGCTCTAGCCAAATCCCCAGGTTCAGCCTCTCACATTCTCCCCAGCAGCTCCCTCATACCTGCTCCCTGCTCCACGTAATCCTCTCAGACAGCAAATCAGCGCTGGTTCTTTCTTCTTCCAGTTCCATCTCCAGCTGGGACACCTTGTCCTGAGAAAGGGGAACAAACAGGTTCTTCACTTACACAGGGTTAGGAGCAAGAGGGGAGCCCATGGGAGGAAACCCCAAGGGCAAATGAGAGCTGATTATGTTAGGACTTGGGAACATAAGACATTTCTTTCTTTCCCCCTTTCCTTCCCTCTCTTCCTTCCTAAAGGATTCATTGTGATCCTATATGGCAAGAGCATTTCTCCTGTATCCCAGGTTAGCCTTGAACTCCTGACCTTCCTGCAGCTACCTCCCAAGTGCTGGCACTACAAGAGTGCCTGTTTGTTGGGTGCTAGAGATTGAACCCAGAGCTTTATTTACGCTATGCAAGTACTCTTACCAGCTGAGCTACACTTCCACCTCCAGCCCTTATACATATAGTTCTTGTTCTGTCCAAAGCAAGTATTTTTTGTTGTTTTCTTTTCTTTTTTGGTTTTTTGATTTTTCAAGACAGGGTTTCTCTGTAGCTTTGGAGCTTGTCCTGGAACTAGCTCTTGTAGACCAGGCTGGCCTTGAACTCAGATATCCGCCTGGCTCTGCCTCCCGAGTGCTGGGATTAAAGGTGTGCGCCACCATCGCCCGGCTCAAAGCAAGTATTTTAAAAACATGTATTTTGTTGCTTTTGTGATACAATTGGGCATGTAGAACATCTATAAGAAGAGGAAAGGGATTACCCTAAGCCCCAGTGTTTTAATTATGTTGGTATGTATTATATTTGTATCTTAAACAGGTCCTCTTAAAGTCAACATATAGTCTGAGAAGCCACCCTGGGACATTCCTGCAAATGCTTCATGCTCAAGAGGCTTGCTCCTGTGAGCGCGGACACACAATTCCCGCCTGCCTCTTCTCTACAGTCCCCATGAACTTGGCAGTGGACAGTCCCAAATCTACACGGGATTGCACAGGACAGTGGTGGTCTATCCTGGTAAATTCACCATCACAGAGGACTAACAATCTATTCCTCTGGTCTCTCTTTGATATCCCTGGCAGCTAAGTGAAAAGCATTTCAAAGTAGTTTCATGGATGAAAGAAAGAGGCTCCCCACTCAGAGTGCTCCTACCCTGGTGGCTGGGAGACTGAGCTTGTGTTTCTTGTCTCCAGTAGGTTTGTCATAGGTCTGGGTAAACTTGGAGCCACAGATGCTTTTTTAATGTATATTTCTAAAAGATTTTTCCGTTCTTGTTTATTGTATGTAGATCATGTATGTGTACCACATGCATGCAATGCCTGTGGAGGCCAGAAGAGGGCGTTAGTTTTCCTTGGACTAGAAATTACCCTCCAGGGAGAACCAGCAAGAACAGGTAAAAGCACTTATTACAAAGCCTGAGACTAGAATTCAAACTCCACAGAGTCCACATAAAAATGAAGAGGACTGACTCAACAAAGCTGTCCTCTGTCCCCCACACTCATACTGTGGTGTGCGCTGGCATGCACATACACACAATAATAAATAAGATAATGTCAAAACCTATAAAAAAACCTAAAAGCTCTCTCCTGGGAGCAGAAACTAACTCAGGACCTGGCTGGTACTGCCTGAAGTTACCTCTCCATCTAGTTCACTCAGAAATCACAAAATATCCAGAGCTTCAGCCACCTAGGACTAAATGTAAAAAGTTCATTGTGGGTTAGCTCTTGAGACCTGAGAACTGGTTAAGTTTCAGTGAAGGAATGGGAAAGGCATGTAGCATAGCAACATGGCCCTGGCCTCTTAGAGCAACTCCCCTCAGGCGCCTTTCATGGTGGTAGGACCTCCAGAAGCCATCACTGCGGAACAAGTGGAGAAATACCCTCAGTGGTGTTTAGCTGCACTGCTGCTTCGGGGCCTGAGGTGACCCAGAGGACATGCCTTGTTAGTCAGAACATTCTAGACTCAAAGGAGATGATCCAACCACCAATCTGATTTCAGCTAAAATCACTTATGTTTAAGAGATCTATGTTTTATTTTTAGTTCAGTGTCTGTGCATGTGAGTGCAGGTGCCAGGAGAGGCCAGCAGAGGGCACCTATTGGATTTCATGGAGTTGGAGTAGCAGGAAGCAGTGAGCCACTCAACATCAGTGCTGGGAATTGAACCTGGGCCTTCTGCAAGAGTGGTGTGTGCACGAAACTGCTGAGCCATCTCTCCAGAGCCCTAAAGTCACTTCTTAGGTTCTTTTTTTTTTGCTTCCAGTCCATATTGTCCAGACAACATATGAGGTCTAAGCCAGAGCTCAGTATACCAAGGCTCCTTGTTCACTACTTGATACCATAGGCAAGCGGACTGCGGAGGTCACTGTCAGGTGTCTTCCTCAATCACTGTCTTATTTTTTGGAGACAGAGGTCTCTTATTGGCCTGGGGCTCACCAAGTAGGGTAGACTTACTGGCCAACCCCCGGGATCTTCCTATCTGTCTGCCTGGCCCTGGGATGTACCCTGACATGATGAGCTTTTGACATGTATGCCAGGAATCTGAACAGAGGTTCTCTGCTTATATGGCATACACTTCACCAACGGAGCTGTCTCCCTAGCCCAGCCAGCTGCTTTTAACCAGGGTGTCGAGGCCCTAGAGCGATCCATTTCTAGTTAACTAGGTTGACCTTGGCTTATCTGAAAGTGACCCCCTAAAGAGATCAGAAAGAAAATATTAGAAAAATATAGCAGCCCCATCAGGCTACTCGAGTCTCTGAGAGAGGCCCATCTAATAAAATCTCCACAGGTTCAAACTTCACCTCCTAGATACAAACTGTGAAGCGCCCTGGATCTCTGAAAAAGCTATTTCTGTTTATTTGCAAAGCTGAATGAGGAATTCATTGATTTTGAGCCTAAGCCAACTCTCACTGGCCTTGAGCGCCATGCCTGTCTTTTATCAAAACCCTCACAATGTTAATGTCGCCCCCAAAGTTTGAGGCTTGTTTTTCAGTCTCTCTCTTATTCTCTAAATTCTGCTTGTAGTGGGGGCACACATCTGTTTCTGGTTTGGGGTCAATTCTTGTCTTACAAATTATTCCTTTTTAGCAATCCAAGTTCTTCCCATTGTCTCAGAGGACCATGGACACTGAGGTTCTGGGATTTTATTTATATGGCTTTGCCTTTTTTCCTCAAGGATTATGTATTAGGCTTATGAATACTCACCCCCAGCTGGTGTCTGCTCTGAGAAGTCTCAGAAAGAGCAATGAATTGGACCATAGTTTGCTGATAGCTCTGGCAACGATACATATGCACACAGAAAGATGGGCCAGGAATAAGAATGGACTGTGTGGTTTGGGGTGGGTGGTTTGGAGTCTAAGGCACAGTGTGGATCCTGACTGGCCAGTCAGCAGTCTTGTAGCCTCCTGTAGGGGCATCATTGCTGAAGAGACACAGCGCTAATAGCTAAGTACCATCTTTGGGGAGCGACTTATATCTTCTTCAAAGCAATGAGGCCAGTAGACTAAATTACACCCTTCACTCCTTCCAGCTCCGACACACAACAAGATGATAAACCACCTCCCCACAACAGAAAAGATCTTAAAATGTCAAGCTAGAAAGAGTAAAAAACCCAAGACATCCCACATAGGAAACATTCCCCAGTGGCCCAGACACATTCTCCACAGCCCGGCTCCTGCCTTGCACCCACACACCTCCATCTGCTTGATGAGCCGGCTGCGGTCATCCTTGAGGTGACTCTTGGCCTCCAGTTCGTACTCCAGATCCTTCAGCGACTGCTCCAGAAGCTTCCGTTTCGTGAGCGCTTCGTCCTCAGCCCGCTGGTGGTCCCGCAACTCTTCCTCCTTGAGGCGCAGCTGGAAGGAGAGGGTGTCGGGACATTCCGTGGGCGTGGAAGTGGCAGCGAATGAGCCACAGTCTGCTGGTAACTCTGCCCATGACAAATAACACATGCCTGCATACATGTCTGCATACCATGTGGATGCCCGGCTCGAGACCAGGAAACAGTGCACAGGCCCACCCCGAAGCAAAGAGGAGCAAATTCCACCTCTCTCCAGGCCTCAGTTTTCCATTTTATAAAACAAACAGTAATTATTGTAAACAGTAAATTATTAAGTTATAAAGTCAACTGATGAGATGTTGACTATCTCAATTACACAGAACACATAAAAAGTCAGAGTATGAACAAGCATTGGGATGTTTTGTATTAGGTATTAACACGTTTGGATGGATGGATGTGCCATTAGGTGCATTGAAAGTCATGGTCAAAAGCACTTATTTGAAAGTCACTGAAGTAGCTACGTGTTCTTGTATTGGAATTGTCTCAAGACAGGTTTAAAGGTTTAAGATAAAAACTAAATTAATGGTCTCTAAGCAACCAGCAGGCATAAAATCCGAGAACATAATCACACTCATCAGGCAACAGTCATTGCTGTGTAGAAAATGATCGGCGATCACTGCAGTGTTCCTTTCATCCACAAGGTGGCGCTCATCTAATAGTTTTGAGGAATGGACAACAGTTTGAGTCTTAAGAGCTAGCACCTCGGTGGTGGTGGCAGCGGGGGATGCCTCAAACTCCCCACTCCCGTGGGCTGACTCTTTGGTTGCCAATATCAAACCCTCCTGGAGATTGGAGAATCCACAGTGCTGAGCATAGAACACCACCGAGGTTTATTCCTTCAGCGAGTTCACAGAAAATCCAGGGAAGCTCCAAAACACCATGCTAATGTAGGAAGACCTGGGGAGGTTGGACGCTGACAGAACACTAGCCATTTCCAGCACAGGCCGACTTGGAAGAAGACAACCACTGGACACAGGCCCTGGGCTGGCTTGGGTGGTGATGGTGACTGAGACTGAACACAGAAACCTTCATCCAGAGAGAATGGAATGGGCGCTCTGGGTGCGGAGGTTTGAAACATGGCCGAGGAGCACTAAGCCTCTCCAGGGCTCAATGTCCTCATCACAACATAGGGATAATGTTATTTGAGACCTGGATGGTAACCCAAAAATAACAAAGAATGCCAATCAAATATACAGCCCAGATTTCCTTCTTGGCATCCTCTGCCACGCCTCTCCTGATACTGGGCATGCGCTTCCCCTTCCTTCCACTAGTAGGGTCTGTCTCCTACAGCAGTAGGGCCCTCCAGGGAGTGGGACAGGCAAGGGGAGAGAACTGCTAGGACAGGCTGAGCATACCTCACCACACACACACACACACACACACACACACACACACACACCAGTTCAAAAGCCCAAAGTGCAAGGCCGGAGAGACAGCTCAGTGGTTAAGAGTACTGGCTACTCTTCCAGGGAGTTGGCTCTCAGAACCCACGTGGCAGCCCACAGCCATCTGTAACTCCAGTTCCATGGGATCTGATACCTCCTGATATCCCTGGGCACCAGGCACACATGGTGTATACCTATATACACGCAGGCTAAATAATTATAGACATAAATTATAAAAAAGCCAAAATATCTAATACTCCAGATCCAAAACTAAAAAAGCCAAAATATCTAATACTCCAGATCCAAAACTAAAAGACATTTTTGATTGTGGAATTTTTTTTTGAATTGGAAATGACAAGAAAAATCTACACAAATATTACAAAATCTCTGAAATCAGATATACTTCTAGTACCAAGTCTGTCAGATAAGGAACACTCGCTCCACTGAGCGTTTAAAGGCAACTTGCCCTGAACTGAAAGTAAGCAAGGCAGCCCTAAATGGGGCATCTGCATCCCCACTCCCAGGTTTAGGGACCTCACAGAAGAGGAGACAGAAAAAATGGAGGAGCCAGAGGAAGGGGTGGAGTGCTAGGGAACATTGTCACAAGCATGACGTGGTCACTACAGTCAGCAGCTGGGACTAACCTGCACAAGACAGACCCACTAACATTCCATCAGAGAGCTGGGGGGAGGGGCTCACACAGCCCCACCTCTCCATGGCTGCTGTAGAAGCCATGAGAAGGTGTGCTCCATGGAGGGACACCTCCTTCAGTGGTGGAGCCACTGTGAAGTTGCCCGTGTGCCTGTAAACTACTCCTCGCCAGGTTCCTAAAAGCAACCCTAAACTGACAGGGACACAGACGTGAACGTAGAGGGAGGGCCAGGTCGGAAGAGCAGGGAGCAGCAGGAAGGAGGAGACAAAGGGTGGAGGTGACTCGGATCAGAAGACATCAGACACATGTCTGAAATGTCAGGAGACCCATTGCCGTATATAATAGTATCTGCCAGTGGGGATGAAGGGAAGCAAGTAACTTTTGAACCTGTCAGTGCTACCTTGTTAGGCAGGACTTAGAAGATGAAGTAAAGATGGTGAACTTTAGGCCTTACTTCCTAAAGACCACCCTCATCAGAACCTCAGTGTCTCACGCCGCCGGCAGAATGGTAGCCAGCACGCTGTTCTCAGGCAAAGGCAGCCAGTACCCAGCTCTGTGCAAACCCATAGCCATACTCAACTAAAGAGTCACTGGGGAGAGGAGCAGTGAGCAGAGATAAACGAGCCAGTCAAGGGTCCAGAGGGATCTTGACTTCCTCATTCACTTCTGCTTTACAGGTTCTGACTTCAGTATCAGAGGGGTGGCATCTGCCTCCTTCTCCTTCAGAGAGATGAGAAATTTCTGTCTGCCGTTCAAATACAAAACTATCTTTAAGAGCCACACCAACAGAAAACTCAAGAAAGCCATCTCTGCTTTCAAACAGCACACCCTTCCTAAAAAAAAAAAAAAAAAAAAAAAAAAAAAAAAAAAAAAAGGAAAAGAAAGGGGCTGGAGAGATGGCTGGGCGGTTAAGAGCACTAGCTGCTCTTCCAGAGGTCCGGAATTCCCAGTAACCACATGGTGGCTCACAACCATCTATAATGGGTCTGATACCTTTTTATGGCATGCGGATAGAGCACTCACACACATAAAAATTTTTTTAAAACAAATATATACACACATGTGTGTGCTCTTTTAAAAAAATATTATGTGTGTATGTGCACAAGCATGTATGTGTCTAAGTTGACCAGCAGAGGGCACTGGATCTCTGGGACCTAGACTGATATGATAGGTGGTTGTGAGCCTCCTGACATGGGTGCAGAGAACTAAACTCCAGTCCTTTGCAAGAGTAGCAAGTACTTTTAACTGCTAAACCATCTCCCCGGTCCCAGTGTGCTCTCTTTCTCTCTCTTTTAAATAAACAGGCCTGGTCTCCATCTGGCCTTACCTAATCTCTGTGGTCTTCTGCTTCTTTATCTGTCTCAAGAATCTTCATGTTTCCTTCTCCCCCAAAGTGTCTAGCCTGGCAACCTTTACACAAATAGCCATGTGGATCCCTGTGCAGGGTCACAGTGACACTGTGGTCTCTTGAAGTTAAAACAGACTTTTAACTGTGTTCTGGCAAATGTTGATGAACCCCCAGCACCCATCTGCTATGAAAATGAAAATATTTTTTTTTCATAGCAAAGGGTACTGTGATGTCAGTGCGCCCGTTCCAGCTTTCTCGGAGTCCTGTATCTTGTAACCCGAGTCAGAGGGACTCTGCTATCGGGATCCTTTCCGAAGTGCCTGAAATATGTCATAAATATCCATTGTTCTTCGATGGGTTCAGTACTGACTCAGGGCAAACCTTCCTTTGATCATCAAAGAAATAAAAAGCTTTTTTGATTTGTTCTGATTTAAAGAAAACTTGTTTTCCTGTGGAATCTGCGGGCTCCTCACACTGTGTGTGTGCAGGGGGAAGCCTTGCGAAAGAGAGAAGCATGTATCGAATGTCCGGGATCTCGGGGCCTTCACTATATCACTTCATGCATTATCTCCATCATTAAGCCACTAATGTAGAAAGAGATGCTGAGAAAACTGAGACAGCTTGTTCAGCGCCATTCAGTCGGCACAGGCTAGAATCACAGCCAGGTGTGGTGGCTCACACCTGTAATCCTAGCACACGGGAACATGGGGCAGGAGAACTGCCATGAAAGACAGACAGACACACAGAAAGAAACGGGCAAGCCTCCAGCTTCCTGTGAAAATAAGAACACCCAACCCCTCCCCATTAATTTTCCTCTTCCCAGGTCAAGAATACAAGATTTGCATTTCTTGGCTCTATCATTATTATTATCATCATCATTATTATTATCCAGCCATGGCCATCCTAGAACTTGCTTTGAAGACCAGGTTGGCCCCAAACTTAGAGATCCACCTGCCTCTGCCTCCCAAGTGCTGAGATTAAAGGTGTGAGCCACCACTACCACCCAGTTTGTTCTAGTCTTCTTTTTTTTCTTTCCCAAGATAAGGTTTCTCTGTGTAGCCATGGCTGTCCTGGAACTCACTCTGTAGACCAGGCTGTTCTCGAACTTACAGACATCCACTTGCCTCTGCCTCTCTAATGCTGAGATTAAAGGCATGCACCACTACTCCCCAGCCTATTAGTTTTAGGTATAAAACCAAAAATGTTTTTAGGGCAGCCAAGATGGCTCACAAGTAGGTGCTTGAGGCCTGGCAATCGGAGTTTGATCCCCTCACCCTGAAAAGATAGAAGGAGGGAACCCATTCCACAAAGTTGTCCCCTGCGCTCCACACATTGGCTCTGGCACTCAACCTTCGCATACACATCATACACCACAATGATGAATAATAATGATTAATGATGAACAAAATAGTGTGCTTTAATTGTCTCAGCATTCACGGATTCCTAAGACGCGAGACTGAACCAAGTCTAGGCAAACACTCTACCACTGAGCCACATGTCCGGTCCCTAAGAACATCTTTTAGTCTATTTTGCTGTGGCTATCACGCTCTTATCTACCTGACCACCCCAATAAAAGTCTAAAGATGATTAGTAAGACTGGAGAGAAGGCAATGGCTCAGTAGTTAAGAGCACTTGCTGCTCAATAATGATGGCCAGAGTTTGATCCTAGCGCCTACACCTAAATGTCAGGTAGCTCACAATGCAGGTAGCTCACAACACGGGCAGCTCCAGCTCCAAAAGTTCCAGCGCCCTCTTCTGGCCTCCATGGGTACTCGTACATACATGTATGCAAACACGCAGACATATACACACGGAAAGACACATTCACACATAAATAATTAAATCTTTTTAGAAAATGATTGTTAAAAGAATCTAGTCATCCCCCTGCCATCTTGTTCTAGAAATAAAGGAAGACCTGGAGGTGGATGACATGTTTGGACACAGATGGAGACAACATTCTTGCTCCATAAAAGGTGGCTCATCTTTTCAAGCAGAAAACTTTGGATGGAAGTTTTGGCCAGAACGTGGCCCAATTAAAGGTGTGTCTGTTTCGCTTCTGAGCCGGTGGGAGTTTTGTGTCTTAGATGCCACCTGCTTGCAATCGCTAGCAAGTGGAGAATAAAGCAAGCCCCAAAGCTGCCCTAAGGATATCTCCCTCCCGCCCAGCCCCAGCAACAGAAGCCTTGCATTCTCAGCAAGAGAAAAAGGAGATTACCCGGCAGGCAGGCATTACCTCATCTTGCATTTTCACAGCTGCCAATCTGGCCTTTTCCACCTCCAGGCTTTTCTCCTTCAGTTGAGTCTGCATTTCCGCAAGCTCCCGGCGGTTCTTCTCCTTATACTCACCCAGCTGCCTCTGCAGCTCCACAGACGACGTGCGTGAGGCCTCGGCGATGTCCGCCATCTGGAGGAAATGGGGTGGCCTGAACAGGTCCTGCCATGCTGGAGCCCCTCCAACAAGGAGAGCATCTCCTCTGCTCCCTACCTTTGATGCTTCCTCTAAGGCCACCAAGCGCCAGACCCCGGGCCGCCTGGCTGGGTCTGGCTAACCCTGCCATGGTGACTGGACACACAGTCCTGAGGTCACGGCTTTGCTTTCCACCAGCCAGTATGACTGAGCCACATCCCAAACCACTAAAGGCCTTGGCACTGTCCTTTTGGGAAACACTGAAATCATATCTACCTTCCAGAGTTTAGACAAAACCCAGGCATAGAATTCTAGTCAGAGCTAAACAAGTCACTAGCAAAATGCCTTACACTGGTAGATGTCAGAAAAACGGCAGCCTTCTAGGCACACTCCTAGACGGAAGGGAGCTGGCAGCCTCGTGCCTTTCCCTGAGTTTTGGGGCAGAGGTGAGCTGAGGGCTTAAGAAACCGCCTTTGGCGTTCCTGGATATGTCAGAGAGAGATAAATATGCAGACTCTGCCCAGAGGCCTCAACCGCAGCTCAGTGAATACTGGTTAAGTGTGTCCACACCAGGCCATCTGTTTATTGTTACCAAGTGACCAGGTGCCCAGAGCCCTGAGGCTTTCAGCCTTTATTTTTTTTTTTTTTTTAGACAAGTTTCTCGGCATCTGGAATTTTCAACAAGTCCAAAGAATGGCTGCAGGGCTTCAGCAACGCCCAGGTGCATCTGTACTTGGGGGAACTGAGGGTTTCCAGAGCCTTCCCGGGAGAAAGTGCTTGGAATCTCCTGGGCCAGCTTGACCCTTGCTCTACCTCCCGGCCCCTCACCTCCTTCTGCAGCTTCTCGATGGTCTTGTCCAGATGCCATCGCTCGCTCTCCATCTCGTTCTTCAGCTTCCTCAGCTGCTCCTTCTGCTCGGTCTCTTCCTGGAGTTTCTCTAACAGCTCCTTCTGCTCCTGGGCGGTCTGGGTCAGCTCTCTCTGAAGACAGTAGGGAAAATACAATGCTGTCACCTGCCTTCCTGGCATCCTCTCCCACGGGTGGCAAGGGGGGGACTTCACAGTCACACCCCAAAAGCAATGAAACCTGTTACCTCTGCAAAGGGGAAAGAATCAAGGGGATCAGGGACCAAAGAAACAAAAAGGAGAGAGAGAGAGAACCTCCACAGGAACAGAGCTGGAAGAATGCTATACGGGAATACATCAGCAGCCACCATGGCTGGTGGGGTTCAGGTTAGACCCTTATAGCTGAATGTTTGCTCTCAAAACAGCAATGATACCGTAAGACCAACCTAAACCAACTCAACAAGCACTCTACCAGCTGAGCTCAGTCTCCAGCCTAGTACAGGAAGACTTCGAGACGGGGTTTCTCTGTGTAGTCCTGGAACTCTGCTTGTAGACCAGGCTGGCCTTGAACTCACAGAGATCCACCTGCCTCTGCCTCCTGAGTGCTGGGATTAAAGGTGTGTGCCACCACCACCTCAGGGTAATTCACATCTTTGAGATCTCTTTCCTTAGGGTTTCTCCACAGGATAGAATCAGCCTCACTGGGTGGTGACAATTCCTTCATCTTCCTTCTTCTCCCCCTCCTCCCCCTTCTCCTCCCCAGACCAGAAAGTAAACTCCAAACAGAAACCCCAACTGCCCTGTGCCCTTTCTATCTCTCTCTGTCTCTCTCTCTGTCTCTCTCTCTGTCTCTCTCTCTCTGTCTCTCTCTGTGTGTCTCTCTCTCTCTCTCTCTCAGTGAATTCCTTTTCAACACCCCATCATGGGTCAGGGAGGAGGCTCACTAGGCCCCATCCTCCTTGAGGAACTAAAGGCAGTTAACAGTTGCCGGCCTGGGAGGGAATTATTTTCTCCAGTGGTGTAGTTGCCTGTAAGTTGCCCACGCTTAGTGAATAACCCCTCTCCCATTCTCACGCAAACAATGTTAATTAAACTCAGGTTGAGGGAGACATGACAGTAAGCAAGGGTCACCAGGCATGGGAGGGAAGCATAAGAAAGTGAGAGACAGAGACTATGACCACGGTCCACTGTACATAGGTGTGAAACTGTCAGAGAAAATTGTGTTAAATTCAACCAAATGTATTTTCAGTGACAATATGATAGAATAATGTAATTGAAGCTATTAATAAAAAACTATGAATTCATGGGGACCAGCAAATACAATGGGTCCCTGTAAAAGCCTTCAGCAGCCAGCTCGGTGCATATGTGTGCTTTCTTTTTGCTGGGCATCAAATCCAGGGCTCTGTGCATGATAAGCAAGTTTCCACACCACTGAGCTATATTCCCCAGATTCTAGAGCATATTTCTTAGGTTAGTGAGAAGGCAGAACATTGTTATAGGCACCATTTCTAAATTGTGGGACATTTTAAGATGATCCGGAATAACCCTCACATTCAAGCTTATGGATTTCAATCTGTTCTCCAAACTGTGACTCCAGTAGAAAGGTTGAGAATTTGCATTCCATGCAAGAGGTGTCGCACTCCTGTTTCTTGAGTCTGACGTAAGAGGTAGTCAAATAAGTATTAATTTTCTTTTTTCTAATATTTGTTTTATCCTTAAAGGAAGGCTCTCGAGGTTCATCTTCAGTTCCCTGCCCCTCCTGTCCTAGTGGGCTTTTGCATATTGAGACAGCGGAAGGGGAAAACACTGTTGCTTACTTGGCTGGCTCACAGCTACTGGGCTTCAAAGCCTCTGAGAAGCCACCTTCCTCCTGTCCTTTATCCAGGAGTCAAAGGCTTTGCAGCCAGTATTGGATAATGGTCTCCAGCTCAAGGCTGCCATTGTACATCCACCAACAGTTGTGTCTTCGAACGACCCACCTGGTGATCCCCCAGCCGCCTGCATGTGAAAATTTTGATCACTATCAGTCAGTGGGTTTGTATCGTTAGCCTTAGAGACACCATCTCTGTGGCGATGAAGACCTCACTCAGCACTGTCCCCAAGAAGGTGAAAGCTGCAAAGGGGACCCAGGGAAGCTGGCTCAGGGGTGAAGTGCTCACTGTACAAGCATGAGAAACAGATCAGATCCCAGCACCTAGGCAAACGCCAGGCATGGTGATGTCCGAGTGTGAACCCTGCTCAACACCACCAGGGATAACTGTTGAAGAGAACTAGCCTCGTGCGGTGAGAACTCTGAACCTTGCCTCCAAGTGTGACTCTTACCCTGTGTGCATCTGACCCTGAAGACTATTGGGTCCCCACTGCAAAACTTCAACAGTCTTGAGCCTGAGCCAGCCCGTCAGCCCTCACCTTCCCCGAAACTCTCCCCTGGGACATTTAGGCAGCATTTCAAAGAGTGACGGTAGAATGAAGACACACCAGGGTCATGCTGAGGCTGTTGTGCAAAAGCCAATTTACAACTTTAGTGATGGCTTTGACTGCAGTGGAGTTCAAATAGTCTTCTTGACATCCAAACGGGAAAATCTCATATTCTAGGAACCTTCTGGGTTTGAAGAGAGATAGCTATCTGGTCTCAAGGAAATGACTTCTTCCTGCTCCTTTTAATAGCCGCCTTGAAGGACCGCACGTGTGCTGAGGAGACGGGAAATTGGCTTCTGCAGAGAGGCGACTCCTTGCCGCCTTGGGGACAGGTTCAGCCTGCTTTCACACACTGTTTGTATTTTATCTCTGCAAAACTGTCGAGAACTTTCCAAGGACAAGGCCTTCTCAACCTCAGCACGGTGATGTTTGGATCAGAGAGCTCACAGCTGTGGAGCTGGCCTGTTTTTTAGGATGCTCACCAGCTATCCTGGCTCCACTCACCAGCATCTCCCCAGTGTGACAATTAGTACATGTCCAGATATCACCAGCTGCCCCTACTTTCAAGTCACTAGTCCAGATGAATAGCTCAGGGTGGCTACATAGGTGGAAGGCATTCCCTGGAAGGACAGGCCCAGTGGCCACGTCTACCAACAAGGATGAGGAAGGCAAGCCTTGGGGGCTTACCTGCACACGCTCCAGCTCCTTCTCCAGCGCCCTTCGGGCAGAGGTAGCTTCCTTTTCTTCCTGCCTGGCCTGCACAAGGGCTCCCTCTAGCTGCTGGACTTCACTCTATAATGAGACAGATGGGTCAAGAACCACAGGGACACACTCTGAAGATGACCGTGATCGTAGTGTGCCTGTTGTGGGACCGAGATAAACAGCTGGGCTCTTGGGTGTGTGCCTCTCTGCAGTCCCTTTTCCAGCCACGTGTGGCCTTCGGGGTTACCTTGGTGATTTCTTTATCTTTATTACAAATACCCAAGTTTTACCCCCGGGAGATTCAGAAACTCCAGGCAGGGGATAGACTGGGTCAAGGCATTGTTGTAAAGGTGTGCAGGTGACCTGACGGGCACCCAGTGTGTCCCCCCCCCTTCCGCTGCTGTTACTTCCCGCCTCTTTCCTTAACAGCTTCCAAAGCTCTGGTAGAGCGGATAACTGGCTTGCTAAAAATCTCCAACAATATCAGCTACGTGCCAAAGAAAGGATGTGTTTAGCGAGACAGACTAATGTGGTGTGAAGATGACCTCCACAGGTGTTCAGAGGATCCCACGGAGCCTCAGAAAGATGTCTAATGTCTGACGCAGGAGTCCCTGGGTACCGTGCAGCCCAGGCCCCTGATTTCCACCCTGGTTTTATTATTCCTGTTCCCACCATTCCAAAAGATGCTTGCAGGTCACCTGGACGTCCCAAATCAATCCTGACAGTTCCACCCCCAGCCCTGAAATCACTACAGGAGAGAGGGGTACAGGCTGCCACACTCTGGCCAAGACCCAAGGAGCCTCACCTCGCACTTGCGGAGCATCTCCTTTGCGTGGGCCTCATCGCCTTTCATGTCCTCCATCTGCTTCTGCAGCTGGGCCAGTCTGCGCTCCAGCTCCGCAATCCTCCCCTGCAGCTTCTCGTTCTCCTCCTTCAGCGCTTTCTCTCGCAGGTCAGCCCCTGCCTGGTTCTGCTCTGTCAAGTGGCTCCTGCTGGCCAGGACCTCCACATTCTGAGAACAAAGAACAAAGGACTGAGTGTTCACAGGTGCTCCCCAACTCCTGAGGGAAGCTGGCATCTGAAAAGTACCGCAGCTGGAATCTTCTGGCATTTGCCTGCCATCCCAAGGACAGGAGGACAAGGCAGAATGACTGGAAGTTCCAGGCTGGCCCGGGATACTTGATGAGTTTGAAGCTAGCCCTGTCTCAATATATTTTTTAAAAGGTGGAGATATAGAGTCATGGCAGTAGACAAGTTGAGGTGTTTGAGGGACTCATTTCTTTCTACTCCAAGTACAGACAGGGTTTCTCTGTGTAACAGTCCTGGCTGTCCTTGAACTACCTTTGTAGACCAGGCTGGCCTTGATCCTCCTGCCTCTACCTCCTGAGTGCTGAGATTAAAGGCGGCACCACCACCCAGCTATTCATTTCAACACCCAGTATTGAGGGGGAAAAATGCTAAATAGCAGGGGACGAAGACAGGGTGAATGACAACCTGGAGGCCACTGCTGCCTGTCATCTGCTCTTAAATGAGATGTGGGCCAGGGTAGAGCTATGTAGTTTGATGCCCAGCAATAAAAAAAGGGGAAAATTAATGCAAAGATGAAGGATCATAAGAGCATAACCACACCCACTCATAGCAAACAAGCAAATGAAGACAGCACCCCTTCACAACATGAACTCAAACTGGGTCAGGGACCCGAATTCTAGAACTCAAACCATTAAAGCTCTCAGAAGACACAGGAGTGCATACCTGTGATTTTAGTTTAGGCAAAGGTTCCTTCAGCTACAGTACCAGAGGCACAGATGACAAAAGGACAGATTGACTTCTGTGTGTGTGAGTGTATGCCTGCATATAGTATGTGTGCCACATGTGTGAAGTACCCATGGCATCCAGAAGAGGGCATTATATCCCCCAGGACTGGAGATACAGGTAGTTGTGAGCCTGTAACTCACCATGTGAGTAGTCCGTGAGATGTAAGAAACTTTTAATACTGGGGATATCACCAGGATGATAAGATGGCCCACAGAACAACAAAAAAAAATACTTACAAATCAGATCATATGAAAATATGTGAAGAATTCTTCACCTTCATAATAAAAAGATAAACCACCTTTTTTTTGGAATAGAGTCTCTCACATAGTTCTGGCTATCCTGGAACTCGCTCTGTAGAGCAGGCTGGCCTCACACTCACAGAGATCCACCTGCCCTTTACCTCCCAAGAGCTGAAATTAAAGGCATGCTCCTCAATGCCCAGCAAACTACCCATTCTTGATGAGGGCAATGGACAGAAATAGATTTGTTTCCAAAGAAGACACAGGATGGGCATGGGAAGAGCTGGTCAATACTGTCAGTCACTAGGGAAGGACAAATCAGAGTCACAGTCACACACGCTGCTAGGGAGGATAAGGAAAAACAAAAATCTTGCACAATGTTGAGAAAATTCAAAATTGTGTAGCCATGTAGGAAAGTTGTCAGCTCCTCCAAACAATGTTAAACCAAATTTCCTCATGGCTAGCTACTTCACTTTTTTCTATATGCCTAAGAGAAATAAAAACTTCCATATATATACATATATATGTGTGCATATATATGTGTGTATACACACACACACACACACACACACACACACACGGCCAAGGCACCATTATTCATAAAAGTGGAAACAACTTATATTCCCATCAACAAATGAATGGGTAAATAAAATGTGGTACAGTCATACAATGGACTATTATCGGGTCATAAAAAGAAATGAAATACCAATGTATGCTACAACAACAAAAAAATGATACCAAGTGGAGGCCCCCAGCGAGATCAGAAACTAGGGAACCCTGAGAGATTGCCCTTGGGAATGGAAGGATGAGTTGAAGATGGGTATGTGTCTATGTGTTTTTTCATCCCCAGACTCTTGCTCGATACCGGTTCCAGGTGGTGCAGGCGCCACAGGAGGCAGAGCTGAAATGGGGAACTAGGGACTCTCTTAGGAACGCTCTCTGGAAGATTGGCCAGCAGGAAAGTAATAAAGAGGAGGCAGGAGGGTGAATTAAAGGCCTCAAAAAGATGGAATGTGCACAGAGAATCTGGAGTGCAGAGAGACATTTGATTCTGGGGAGTGCTAAGAAAGATGTCTTGATTTCAAAATATGGGTCTAAGGATTTGTTGCTTTGGAAAAGGGGTTGTTCTTTTGTTTCCACAGAAGATGAAGACCCGTGGAATCCTTCTAGATTAATGTGGTTTGATGGACCAAGACCCTCCCCCAAAAGGTTGCTGTGAACACCCTCAAAAAATTACTTTGCCCTATAAACATCAGGAAGTAGTTTAGAGAGAAGAACGTCCAAATTCCCTAAATGATTGTTTACTGGAGATTGTGGGGCCGAGGGGACACCGTAGGTGGTAGTGGTCTCCGGCTTTGCATGCTCAAAGAGTTTGCTACACAAGTGGCAGGCTTTTCTGCACAGTAGCCTCTGAAGGTCCCCGAGCCCACTTGCCACCTTGGCTCCCAGCAGTGGCAGGAGGCGGTGCCTGTTCTGGTGGAGCCACCCCAGCAGTAGGATTTGCTGAAGGAAGAGGCAGAAGCAGTAGGAGTTTGGGGCCAGCATTTATGACTGCTACTAATGATCTAGTGCTGAACCATCCTGCCGAGAGAGAGACTTTGGGATCACCATGACTGTAGTGGCCGCTACTGTCGCTGCTGCAGCCTCCTTCGTGGCGGCTGGAATTGCCATCAGCCAGACATCTGCTGTGGCTATCTTGTACAGTGACTGTGTTCACTAGGGCATTTCCCAGCTCATTGCTATCACATTTGTGCCATGTGCCGGGCCAGTCCAGAACCTTGGTCTAATTATATGGAAAAGGAGGAGATGTTGGGGACTGTGGACCCCCAGATCCTGAATTTCCTGTGACCTCCTCCCTGCCAGAGTAAACAACTGGTTTTCCTATGCTTGCAGCTGCTCTAAGCAAACAACTTGTGTTTTTTTTTTGTTTGTTTGTTTTTTTGTTTTTCAGCTGCTCTGAGCACAAGACCCTCAGCAGTTCCTGATGGCAGGGGAGTGATTTCTGGTGGGCTTGCAGCTGAGAGTTAGAGCATGGCCATTGGTCAAGGAGACCCTATATAAGCTGCCCTGGAAGACAATAAAGGGGGCATTCTTGGCGTTACCTGTGTGTGTGTGTGTGTGTGTGTATGTATGTATGTATGTGTTTCAATCTCTAGTCCCTTGTCTGACTCACAAACCATACCATAGCATGTAGTGCCTAGAGCAAACGTTGTGCTGCAACCAAGTGAAAGCCGCATGTCATGAAAGATCCTATGTTGATGCTGAAGGAAATGTCTAGAATAAAAAATCTAAAGATAAAGAAAAATAGCTTAATGGTTGGTCAGGGCTAGAGGAAGAGCTGGGGAAGAGGTGGGAAGGGTCTGCTAATAGACATGCATTTTCATTTGAGATTAATGAAAACATGTTGAATATAGTAATGGTTACACAGTCGTGCAAATATGCTATAAACTACAGAGTTGTATATTATGTGAATTATAGATTATAGCTGTCGTTTCTTTTTCTTTTAGATTGACTGACACAAGGAAGACCTGGAGTCAGAGTAGGGATCATGGACAAAGACTGTTTGTCTACCCCTGAGCACAGGTCTAGCTGTTTTAAAGATTTATTTTTATTTAATGGGTGTTCGCCTGCATGTATGTCTGTGTATCACATGCAGGCAGTGCTTGAAGAGGTCAGGAGAGGGCCCTTGATCCCCTGTGAACTGCCATGTGGGTGCTGGGAACCAAACTGGGTCCTCTGAAAGAGCAGCAAGTGTTCTTAGCCATCTCTCCAGCCCATGGTGCCAGGTTTGCAGAAACAGGAGGAGGGGAGCCCTGAGGTCTGCTGGAACCATTTGGTGTAGGAAAGAACACTTACACATGTGGCCAGCAGGTTCTCATTCCCCCAGAAGTCTCGGGAAAAGGAAGGACGGTGGAAACCAAGCCTGTTTTAACCTTGGTTTTGACTAACACACCCACGCTTGCTTGCTTAGAGAAGGGCACTTGGTCTGTAAGTTCATAGCTGGCAGAGTCACCCCAACCTGAGCCTCCAAAGTGGCACAGACTGAGTTTGGCTCTGGGGGAGCATGTGTATATCCTGACACTTAGTACTGTTTTGATTATTTGCAAAGTGCTAATTTGCCTTTCTCTCTGTTCACAGTGTGGTAAACCGCATTGTGTTTACAAATAGCTTAACATTTAACAAGAGCCTTGGCCGGCAAATGGCTCCAGAAAGCTCCTCTGGCCCCTGTTCCCCCCCCCCCCACCCCTACTTTACTATTTTATAAAAAGACCATAAAACAAACTTTCCTTTTCCTGGCACCATACCTAATTCTACAACAGTCCTGGCATCTAAAAACAAACAAACCCCATACCCTTTCGTTCAAGGCAAGTGACGCACGAAGGTTCTTTTACATGAGAGCCAAGCAAAGAAAGTTGGTGTAGAAAGGCTCTCCAAGGCTTCCCTCTCCCAAATGCCCCCACTCCCACATCATCTTTTCCAGGTTCTTAGTGATGTCTGGGTCCGGTTCATGTGGCAAAGACGTCAGAGCTGGCAAAGGCCTGTTGACCCAGAAGGTCATGGTACAGACACGGAAGCCATATTTATAGTGCTGGGGCCATTTCCGTGACTCACTGATCTTACTTCCTGGATGTCATGGCAAGGTTAGAGAGACCATAGCACCAGAAAGAAGACGCTGTGAGATGAACATCCAAAGACGGATGCTTCTGATTCACAGAGCTGGGCTTGTCACAGCCTATCAACTCTATCACTCCACCGGGCAGTCACACAACAAAAATCCACTCCAGCAACTTCAAATCCCTACACTGTATCATGGTCACAAAGCAAACGGGCTGTTTTCTACTATGGCTTTCCAAGCCTGGACCACGGCTAAAAGTTGCATTAAGATAATTTTTCCATCTATCAGACAACCAAGGTAAACGTTTTGGTAACAGCATTTGGGCAGAGTCAGAAAACACAG